ATTAAAAGTTTTTTATACTATTTATTTTGTGTTTACAACTTTATTTTTTATTAATCAAAATAACATTAAAATATCACATGGGGAGAATAATTTTTTGCAAAATATTAACAATTCTTTTTTTTATATATTTAGTCTACGTTAAAAAATGTTAAAAGATTTAGAAATTTTTTCACGATTTTCAAATGAAAATTCGTATGTATGTAAATAAACATATACATGAAAATCTTAAAACGACAGATGGACGGATAAAACTTATTTATCGGATGATCTTGGTCATTCTACACCCAGCGCTAAGTCTGGTCTTCTTCGACCGATGATTTCGCATGTGAGACGCCGAGGTGCAGCAGTGTGGCCGAGGTCATAACATCAGCCCATCCGGTAAGTAAGCTTCTTACGTCCGTCTATCTTCTTAAAGGCTTCCTTGAACATGTATATGTTGAGTGCAATTGTCTACGGAGTATTTGTCTGATAAAGAGTGAAACCCCGCCTTACTACCGATTACAATGACACGTATTTTTACCTGATTACAACCTCCAGCTGTCTAACTGAACGACTTAGAAAGTTTTTTATTTCAGACCCTATCACTCATCTTTTTTTTTCGCATTTATAACACTTTGTTAAATAACAGTGATGGCCAAGATGGGGCTCTATTATTGACGTAAATTTCCTGTCATGATATTTTTAGATATGAAATGCACTAAATATATCTTACGTTATACAAAACGGCAACCGAGCAAGGGCTCCCATATTAAAACATGGGGAAGCTTAAGATTGTATTAATGAGTTTTGTTTTTTTTCCAACCAAATTAAAAACCACAGCTCGGGCAGTGCGGACACATAGTGTTTTGCAAATAAAACACAAAGATGGCAAATGACAACATGACGATTTCCTTATATTAATATTATTTGCTTTACTAAACAGGACAACATCCTTCTGAAAGATCGGGTTTCCTTTTTCCTCTTTTTTTTTTGTAATTTACACTCAACAACATTGTGCTTATGTTTAAGTTTCTTACTTTCTAAATTTTTACACTCATTATTATTTCACCACTTGTCTTACAAGGATACACAAAATTTGTACGGATGTATGGAACATTCAAATGGACTTGAGATAAGTCTAGCTTTTCTTAGACCGACCGATTTAGAATAGCGTTCTGAATTGATCTAAGCCTATGTGTCCGTCCGTCCTTTTTTTTTCTTATGTTCAATCGACAGGCCATAGAGATATTTTAAGAAAGTTTCGTACACTGACCGCTTTTGACCCGAAAGCTATTGAAATTAGTTTTTCGGCCAATTGGCATGTAATACGTTATTTGAAAAAAAACATTTTTGTGTTTTTGATGTTGGACCACGTTCTACTATAATGCATCTATTTTTGTGCTATTTCAATGAAATTTTGTACACTGACCTATTGAAAATGGGTTGGATCAAAACACTTTTTCCCACTACATTTCATATAATGAGTCATTTCGAATAACAACTAACTACAACTAACTACAACTAACTAAAACGAGGGCAATTGTGAATAAATATTTGAAATCCTCTCCTATGCTGGAGTTGCACTTGAACATTTTGCTTATTAATTGTAGACGGATTCAAAAGGATTTTTTACAACGAACCCATTTAATGTTTATGTCCAATTTTATATTCTTAAATTTCTGAAAACAATATACTTTTAAAAGATTAACGAGACCATTTTTTCATACTCTTGAGCTCCTTATGACCATTTCTAAACTTTCCATCCAAACTTTTTATGTCAATCTTTGGAGCGCTTGGCGACTTATATGGATACAATTTAGGGTATCACTTGTGTCAAAAATATATACACATTAGATGATATTTAAATTTTTGTAAATAATGATATAAAAAATTTTTTTATACCGTTTTTATAGCTCCGGACGGATATGTACCCACAGTACCAAGGGAGATGGTTTTGTCCGTCCGTCTTTGTGGGGGCTACAGATTCTATTGTTTTCTTAATGAAAAAAATTTTTTAGTCATTTGTTCGTCCGTCCGTAAGTCCCCTTATCTATTGGAACAATCACTCTGGTAAAGCTTGAAAATAATAGCTGAAAGTAGGCTTCAGAATATTACGAAAATAATTGGAAACCGTTTTGATGCTTAATACAAATACATCTTCAAGTTATCTAAAAGAGTTCGATATAAAGACATTCAAGTGACACACCAAAGTTAAGGAAATATTTTTAAAATTTTTATATAATGGTAGATTGCTTATTTTCAAGGTGGGTGCTTTCTAAAAATCGGTTATTATTTGTGGCTATTGTTAACTCCGGCAGATTGTAGCAAAATTGGGTCAAACGATAGCCTTTTTGTCTCTTTTTGCCTTTACAAGTCCCATAAATTATTACCAAATACAATTATTTAAATTTTAGATCGTCTTTAAATCTTAGATACATACATACATACAGAATAAAAATCATCAAAAATATAAAAAATATATTTCCAGAAAAATGCGACAATTGGCTGACTAAAGTATTACACTTAACTGCAATGTATTCTTCTGTCTTAGAAAAGACAGGCGGACGGACAAGCTTAAATAAGTATAGTTAAAAGAAGGTCTAATTCAAGTCCCTCTTGTTGCTGCTTACATCCGCAAAAACTTAATACACCTTTGTTCCATAAGTAAAAACGACCCCTATACCTGTATGTACTACTACCATTATAACGGACGAGCATATAATAGATTCCTCACTTTAGTTTCCAATATCTACAAAAGGATGCTTAAGATACTCCATAAACTAGATATAGTTTTTTCATATCCATTTGTCTTGCCCTCTGAAGTGACAACTCTCGTGGTTGCCAATTAAAACTAGAAGCAAACGTGTTCGCATGTCAGTTTGCAAATGTCCTCAAGACTCGAAAGGTATATAGTGAATATTGCAAAGCTTGTCAAATTTAAGAAAAAAAGTCATAAGCAGTTAATGTTAAAGCGTTTTGTTTGTAATAATAACCAAAGCATAGAATGAATAATAAACTTGTACTTCCGTTATTGCTACCGATCACAAATTCTGGGTAGACAAAAGGATTTTTCTTTGGCAAAGATATGGATTGACTTGAACTGAGTTACGTAGGACATTATCTGCTTAGCAGCAATATATTTATTTTTATTTCTTCTTACTATATATATGTATGTACAAAGGAAAGACTATGTCAATAAATTAAACAAATAAAGTCGTAAACTGAATTATTGATATCCACAAGTTGATGTTATTATATGAAAATTGTAAAATAGTTATGGGTGTGTTTGTTTTTTTTTACACGACTCTTAGTTCAAGAACTGTGATAATTCTCCGCTTACCGGTTATTTTCCTATGTATTCAAAACCAAGTTGTCTTTGTGTTATGAGTGCGGCTATATGAAGGAGATGCGTTCATTTTAGCTGTTGGTCTGTATTTATCAACTAAGCATATATATCTCAAGTTTCAATTTTATTTGTCAACATCCGCCGACTAGAGCTTTCCTAGCAATATAAGACAAATCCATGGATGGACGGACGGACGGACGATGATCAGGAGTACATGTACTTTATAGAATCTCTTTATGTTTATCGTTCCATATACCCATAGTCAATCTCCTTATATAACAATCCGCTTAAAAAGAACTCGTTATATAAAAAAATTTGTAATTCGAGAAAATCGGTAGAAAATAATATTTTTACATATTAAATGAAAATTGAAAACTAGTACGAGATGCGGTCATTTTTTAAACCTCCCCACAAAAATATGTTTGCAGAAAACAAATCTTTGTATGGTAATGAGCTCAACTAAGTTTGAAGCAGCGGGTCTATCCCTTACAAGGATTCTCATGAAAAATAAATTTTTATATACCTCTCTTTACATTTATGTATATGTATGTATATATATTTACATATACATATATATATATATATGTATACATATATATATATATATGTATATAGATACATGTATACATATTTAATGTGATTCAGGGAATGTCCTCGGGTAACAAAGGTGTTAGAAACAGGGAGGTGGTAGGTGCAGCCTAGTGGTAACAAGTTCTAATTTTCGGTATTATATAAGAAAAGTAGATGAAGAATAGTATTAAGCGGGATTTTGCGAGGCATCCAATAATCAGACTTGTCCTACAATAACGTTGCAACTTCTTACTCGCCCTTAGGAATGCCTTGCTAATCAACCAGGAAAATGGGTGAAGGTATGGATGAACATTAGGATACATTCCGAGGAATTCAATTAAATCGACGATCCCTATCAATCTGCCTATATGATGAATTGTTGGCCAACTTCAAAGATTATTGAAACATAGGTATACCACTAATGTATTACAACTAAATATTTTAAATCTTAAGTATTATATAAAATCTCTGTTAAGCTTAGAATTGACAATTTATTTTTGTTGAATACTTTATATAAATCATTTCTTATATTTTATATATATATACATATATATATATTTACATTTATGCACTTTTATGACATCCGTCATAATGTATTTATATAATAAAACTGCTCACAAACGTTTTTCTTTCGTCCGTTGATAAGATGGCAGAGAGAGAGAGAGAGACAGAGGAGGAGAGACAGAGTGGTTGGAAAGCTTGCGTTGATGGGTTTTGTGAAACGAAACTGTCCACATCACCTAGAAAGAAATTAACATTAATAAAATTCAAATATTTCCATGAGAAACATTATCGCGGACAAACTATTTTTGAAAATAAAACCACTTCTTTTTCTTTTTTTTTTTTTTTTTTGTATAAAAAAGATTTTTAATTATCATTAACAGAATTTTATTTTGTATTTTTTATCATTTTTTTGTTTTTAGTAATACGAAAAAAAAAAACAAACAAAAAAAAAAATGAAGTCTATTCATTTTTACATTGTTATATGTAAAATAAACGTACACATAAATATTTTCTGTCATGTTATATATATATATATATATATCGAAGTAAGATTTTAAGTAATAAGAGTCATTTTTTGTTACATGCAAAGACGGTTACTATTTAATATTATTATTATTTTTTTTTTTTTTGATAGCAAACCTCGAACTGGAAAAGAACTTATGCCTAAGAAAGCATTTGAAAGCATTAACCATAAAAATGCATAATGTCGCCAATTGTCTACATTCCAATTTCGCGTAATTTTAAAAATACTTTTAAAATTTAAATCTGACTGGAATGTAAACATTTGGCAACGATATGCATTTAAGGTTTACGGCTTTAGAAACGTATTAAATAAAGTGAACTTTTAAAGATCGGCGACTTTTAAATAAAAAAAATAGATAAGTAAAAGTCTTCTTCCTGGCACGAAGTTTGCATTTTTGTTTTATACTCTACATCACTTTTGGCAAAGATACACATAAGCTTGTGCTTGTAACATTGAGAAGGTCTTCAGATAAGCTTCTTCTTTAAGCATGTATGGTGTTATGTCAAAAAGTGTAGAACCATTTCCTAATTTGAATTAAACATGTCTTTCTATCTGTCTGCTTGATATGTCCGCTATTTTCGCGACACTGACATATTTTGGCGTAAAAATGAATTCCATTGGACATGGCTTGGATCGGTTTACATGTACGAAGACACACTCCATATAAAGATCTATTTTGAAAGATTATTATGTGAAAAAGATTTTGGGCATTTCTTGAAAAAAATGAAAGAAACATAGTATTATAGAATACTAAACGAAAGCGAAAAGCATGGACGGAATGGGATCGTTTTGGAATACTTCTCCCCCTTTAATAGTTCATAAAACTGAAGCCTTGATATGATCTAAGTAGCATTATTTTACGATTGAAATAGAACAGTGATTTAATATTTAAACTTATTGCGCTAAGTTTGGACCACATAGACTAACTTTTCGGATTGCCTTGACTATTCTCAGATTCCCATGGCTAAAAGTTCGAATTTATTCACTTATTTTATCACGTTATGATCGTTATGAAATTATATTAAACGAAGTAGTGTGGAGTATTTAATAGTCGGCCTCATCCGACTTCAATATTTGAACTCATTTATTGTTATAAATTTTTATATATGAAATCTTTCTAAGGAATATTCTATATATATTCTTTATATATACTATATATATATATCCTTTTTATGAAATGGATATCTATACATAAATTACATTTTTATTTAGAACTGTCTTAAAAATTCCAATAAAATTTATTTTATATATAAAATGATCATGTTATTGGGCAATTGGACTTTAATACTGATACAGTACAGTAAAGAACATTTTCTGATATAAACAAATCTAGAGATTAGCTAATCTTTATTGACTATTAAACTCTTATTATAATTTGTCTTCATTTTAACAAGAACAATGAATAGCGTCCTCGGTATCGCTAAAATAAAACAAAATATTTGAGATATCTTTTCCTTTAAACAATAGAGTTAGTCGCTATATTAAGGGCATTCTCATGAAAAGTTAGTCAATCAATAAAAACATTATAAAAAAAAAGTCTTTAATTTATGAACTAATATTTAATAATAATAAGAAATATTTATAGCACGGGGAATAAAGGGAATAATTTTGTTTGCATTAACATCTTGTGAATGAGATTAACTGTAAATTTGTTATTATTGTAACACATTTTTTTTTTTTTTTTTTTTTGAAAACATATATGATATATATATCATAATGCTGATTTACGCTTTTAAGTTTGGCAATAGATTTTCTCAAAATGTTGCGAACAAAATCCTCAGTTACAAATGTATAGAATTACAATTGTGAGCATTTTGTTTAGAGCAACATGTTTCAATGGAAAATAAAATTGATATATTTGCATGTTTGGACAAATCTTCAAAGAAACAGAAGACGATATTTCGAAAGAGCTCTCACCTTGCTTGAAATATATTATACGAAATTGTTTGTGTTGATAATGATACGAAAATGTTATGTCTTATAGTAATACATATATTTTCCCCCTATAGCAGTAATGTGGCATACAACAACATACCGCACTTGAACTTACAATAAGTAAAACAATGAAATAATTCATTGTGCATTGGTTAAGAGAGCAAGGAAAATGAAAGCAATAAATTTCTATATTATATTTAAAGTTATTTCGTTTCTTTAAAATCTAACTTTTACTTAAAAAAATGACATTTTTCTATGAATAAAAAAAAAAAAAAAAAAACAAAGTTTTAGACGCATCTACGAGTAGACATCTAATAAATGGAAAATATTGATAAAATGATTAAGAGAAACATTGTTTTGTTTATATAGAAACAGTATATGTTGCGAAACAACATATTAAAAATGTAAACAAAATCTCAGCTACACTTGTGAATATGTATCTAATAAATGAGAAATGTTAGTTACATAATCTATGGCAACATGTCAGCAACATTTTCAAATTGTACGCATGCGTAGACAAAAATATAAATTTACAGGAGGAGGAAGCCTTTTTTAATTGAGACATTTGACGTCATGATAAGGATCAAAATATGTGAATTATATTTTGTAGACACATACATACGTATACGCATGCAAATATTGTTATATATATTAAACATATAAAAAATAATGTATGCTTATATGACAAACACAAACATACAAATAAAAATAATATATGTTTATTTGATGATAAACATGAACATGTATTATAATATATGTTTATATTATTTATATACATAAACATGTATTATTTTACCTTTTCTTTCGAAAATGTATTTTCACTTATGTCTCTGGAACGAAGCATGCAACTCCAAGTGTTTTATTTGTGCCAAAATGAATGAAGAACATTTTTTTACGATACGTATACTTATTAGTGTCTAAGAAATTTTATAATGTAGTGTGATCGCATATCGGTATATGCGTCCACTGTGAACTGTGTCATGCAAGTTCAGCATAATTTTTTTTGCTAAAAGAAAAATAAAAATTACACTTCACAATCAAAACAATTAACTTTTGTCGATGTAAGCATAAATTAAGTATAAGAATTTATATATAAATAGCACAATTAAAATTTTAATAAAGTAAACGCACCAAAGCAATTGAAATTAAGCGTTTCACTCGCTAATCATCAAAAGGCGTTCCATCCGCCTAATATAAATTTCATAGGGACTATCTCATGCCGAGCATTATTAGCATTTGCAAAAAGATAGAAGATATGGCGTTCTGAAGCCGAGCAGCTTAGGGCTAAACTCCAACTCCAAACCTAATCTAATCGCCTGGGAAAGATTCATAGGGAATCTTCCCAATAAAATAAATCACGATCAGCCATACGCCCCCTTCTATTTTAAAATACAAACATAAAAGGCAGTTGAATAAATTCTTCACTCGTTGAGAATTGAAGTAAGTAACGAAGTTAAAGTGAGAAACGTTCTCGCTAAAGGATTCTTAACTACTATGTTGTAATATTTTAAATATTTTTAGTTTAAATTTAATTAAATAAGAGATCAAAAAGTCGTATTATTTTCAAAGTAGTTTTCGCAATAGTAAAAATATTGTAAAATTTAAAGCCAAAAATACGTTTTTATACCCTACATCACTTATGTTCCAAGAGTACATTAAGTTAAATTTGTTCAAATGTAGACAACACCCAGAAGGATTCAAATCCTCCGATCGATTGAGAATCAGTTTAAGTTTGTCTGTCTGTCCGTCTGTCCAACCACCTTTTTTATGTTCAACATAAAGGTGACAATTTTTGACACTATTGTTTTGTACACTAACAGGGACGAATATTGTTAAAAATGAGACGGATCGGACTACATTTTCGACTACTTCCCGTATAAATACTCATTTTGAAAAATCCTTATATGAATATCAATAGGCTGGTGTAGGGTGGTACTTAATGGTTAACCGTGGACTACTATTGTGTTTTTATCCATTCTTTTGGCTTTCTTGACAAAAAAAAAAAAAGTTTTAAAGAAGATCCAGCGAATATTTTAAATGCTTTCACTTTCATAACTTAATTTTTTCTTTCATCTTTAAGCGAATAAATATATTAAAATATTATATTAATATTTTGTAAAAGTTAGAAGGCGTTGCCCTTTGTTTACATAAACGCTTTAGAAGCTGTATATATAGCTATGCATGATATTTCACAGTTTAGCATATTTTAAACGTATTTCAATTATCTACTAAAATATTTACATTTCGTTGCAATTAAGCAACTTTTTGCTGATTATTTTTTAAACTTTTTTAATAAACTTTACAATTATATTAAAAAATATTTAAAATCTAAACTTAAGCATCTAAAAAAAAAAAAAAAAAATGAAAACTAATTCTAGCATAAAAAGTATTTGGTTTCAATTGAACTGAAAATTCTATAAAGCAATTTAACAGGCCTTTATAAAATAAAGACGTTCATCCGATAGCAATCGTTTAAAGAAACGATTTACTTTAAAATATTTAAAAGGCTTCCGTTCACACTTATCGTATTCATGCTAATGCTAAAGCCAAGAAGCAATATTTCTTTAAATTTGATAAACATTTCTCAAAATATTTTTAAAAATGTTTGCTAATTTTTTCCCCCATTCTTCTCTAATTCTAATTAACGATTAATATTTAATTGTTTTCGTTTATCGATTAATAAGCATTACTATCTGCACTAGAACTACTGCTATTCGCAACTGTAGCGGCATGTTTTTGTGAGATATGTTTTCGTAAATCGGACTTATATTTACATTTGTGTGGACAATAAGGACAGGGCAAGGTGGGAGCTACTCCGCATTCATAGCTTTTATGGCGTTTAAGAGAACCTTTTATTTTATATGATTTACCGCAA